AGGGGAGACTCTGGACAGCCGAGAGACAGCACAGCGCAGGATCGATCAGCAACGGCTTCTGTCCTGTCTCTCCAATTGTGAGTTTGTGCCTTTCCATTGCAAACTCTTTATAAATGGGTTTTATTTCCCCCAGTGTGATTAAACCTACGACCCTGGGATTAAGAGTCCCATGCTGTACCGACTGAGCTACCATTGCAAGTCCTTAATAAATCAGCTTCATTTACCTCAGTGTGATTACACAATATAGACCATTTGTGTCAAGAAGTAGATGAATTCTGAAGGTTGAACCCAGGAATTCATGATTTCAAGACCAACCTAAAGCATAGTGTGAAACCACTCATCTCGACAAAGGACAGGGCAGGGGCAGGAATGGTGGCTCGTACCTTGTGATAGGGCATGTACAAGGACCATAGGGGATAAATGTTTCAGGTACAGGGACCATAGAGAATAAAAATGTTGCAGGAAATCCAATGCTGGGAACTAGAGTAGCCCAAATTCCTAAACACTGAGATTCCCAAGCAAAGATTTCAACAATGTATAGCTACAGCCACACATACAAATTCCTTGAGTTGTGTTTCATGGTTTCCATAACTTATATGTAGCTGCCTCCCAGGTGGGGAGACACTGAGGACTTTTCTCTATCACTTTTGTTCCAAACTAAAAAGAGAAAAGCACCAACAACAGAAACAAAACTTTATTTCCTTTAAACCGCTGCCATTTCTTGGTTTTCTCTGTTTCTTGGTAAAAAGAGGCAAATAGCTGACTTGAGATTCTGGTTACAGCAGGAATCAGCCAAAGGAGGGAGAATCATTTAATTTGAGCCAAACTGAGCTTTGCAGCAAATTTGAGGCCAGCCTGTTGAGCTTCTTAGTAAGCCCCTGTCTTAGCAACAAAAAGTGGAGGAGGTGTGGCTAATATCTAGAGGTCAAAAGGAGAGCATTTTGAGGAATGGGGTATTGGGAATCAATGTGCAGTTTTAAAGATTAAAGTACATGAGTAATGATGGTGCAGAATCATGTCCTAACAGGCCCTGGGAATTAAGATTTGTCAAAAGTTGCTTCCTAAAGAATATAATACACTGGGAATGAAAATGGCCTGCCCCCAAACCCTGGCCCTTCTAGCTCCCAGTTCTGGTATCTTGTGCACAGGACTAAATCTATATGTGATGTGGGATTCCTCTCTGTATGCTGTGAATGCCATTGGTTAATAAACTGTCTTGGGTCTGCACACAGCAGAAAAGAGGTAGATGGGGAAAACTAAACTGAATGCTGGGAGAAAGGAGGCAGAGTCAGAGAGAAGCCAGTAGTCCTGCCGGAGACAGCCATGTGGCAATACACAGATTACTAGAAATGGGTTAAATTAAGATGTAAGAATTAGCCAATAAAAAGCTAGAGCTAGTGGGCCAAGCAGTGATTTAATTAATACAGTTTCTGTGTGGTTATTTTGGGTCTGAGCGGCCAGGAAACAAACAAGTGACCTCCTACTACATGTATGTGCACGTGTCCTGGCTTCTATTTCATCATTTCTATGTAGGAACACTGATATGAGTAAGGCAAAGAAATGGAACTCATGTAACCCAAGCTGGTCTAACTTACTGGGTAGCTCAGGATGGCCTTGAATTCCTGCTTGACCTGCCCCTGCTTCCCAAGTATTGAGATTACAGGCATGTACCACCACATCAAACATCTTCTTTTCTCCTAATGCAGGTGAGTGCTACACTGGGACCAGAGCCGGGCTTTATCCTGTTGACAATGTTACTTGGGGGAAGGATGGCTTCTCAGACAGTTCTAGGACATGACATTGCCTTTGAGGAATTTTTTATTTGATCACCCTGCCTCCCAGAAATTAGATTTGTTCTGACATGAATGTTACTATCTATCTTTTAGGAACAGATGTATATTTACAGTCTCTGTCTCCTCTCTCTCTCTCTCTCTCTCTCCCCCCCCCCCCCCCGCTCTCTCCCCGTGTATATGCATGCATGTGCACACTGAAACCTGCAGAGTTTTTATTATCAACACATTATTTGTACAACAGTTACAGAAAGAATTGTAGATAGGCGTGGTATCATTAGGATTCAATGCTTAGAAGCAAACTTTTGGTACAATGGATTATCAATTTGTCATTTTTACATAGAAGCTTTTTTTTCATTGTAGGGATTTTTTTTGTTTTGTTTTGAGAATGGGTTTCTCCTGTAGCCCTGGCTGTCCTGGAATTTACTCTGTAGGCTAGGCTAGTTTTGAATTCAGAGACTGACCTGCCTCTGCTCCTGAGTGTTGGAATTAAAGGTGCGCCACACCTCCGCCTGATTGAACAGATTCTTTGTAAGGTCACAAATACCTTTTTTCCCCCGTTTTTCTTGTCACATCTTAACCCAAAATTTACTCAAGTTTATTCATATGTCTTTGTGTGAATTGTATTTGATTAATTAAAAGTGCTAGTTAGATGTGTCCATTAGCCTAACTAGTACAATTTTTCTTCCATCTATAGCTCTACTCAAATGAAAAGCACTGAGAGGCTAAAGTAAAAGGTTTGCTGTGAGTTCCAAGCCTGCTTGGGCTAGAGTGAAACCCTGTCTCAAACAAACCATGTCAGATGTGGCACATGTAGGCAGGCAGATTTCTGTGAGTTCTGGGATAGCTAGGAATACATGAGAGGCTCTGTCTCAAAAAAAAAAAAATCGGGGTGGGGAGCAAATACCAGACAGTTACTTTGTCAGTATAGAAGGATAACAAATACATGGGGGTCAAATACATGGGGTGGGGAGCAAATATCAGACCGTTACTTTGTCGGTATAGAATGACAAACACACAGATGTTTTTGTTGTTCTTTTTGTGCAGTTCTGGTTTTGGAGACACCTTCATGCCGTGTGAGCTGGACTTGAACTCACACATAACTGAGGCTGGTCTTGGACAGACATTCTTCCTCTCTCTGCTTACAAAGTTCTGGGATTCTAAGTGTGCACTACATTTGATTTGTGAAGCAATCAAGCCATTCTCAAGGGATATCTTTGTCCAAGAGTTAGTCCCTTAAGCCCTTTTATCATAAACAGGCACTTGGTTGAGCGTCTATTTAAGGCTGACTAACCTTCCCTTCCTTTTTCAACAAGAATTCAGTATTATGACTCACTTTGTTTTTCAAACTTAAGTCCCAGGCAAGTCTTCCTGTGTGAGATCCTGCGCTTGTTGAGGCTTTGTTTTTCCTTGACTTTTGTTGTTGTCTTGTTTTATTTTTGAGACAGAGCCTCACACAGCCCAGGCTAGCCTCAAGGTCAAGCTGAGGATGACCTTGAACTCCTTGACCCTTCTTCCTCTACCTCCCCCACGCTAGGACTACAGGTATGCAGGTTTACATCACCGTTTTGGGTTTTTTTTTTTTTTTAAGATTTATTTATTTATTGTGTATACAGTACTCTGCCTACATTCATGCTTGCAGGCCAGAAGAGGGCACCAGATCTCATTACAGATGGTTGTAAGCCATCATGTGGTTGCTCGGAATTGAACTCAGGACCTTTGGACAAGCATGCGGTGCTCTTAACCACTGAGCCATCTCTCCAACCCCCACCATGTTGGTTTTATGTGGTGCTGGGAATCAAACCTGTTCCAGGCAAATGATCCATCTACTACTGAGTTAAGTTCCTAGTGCGCGCTTTCTCTCTCTCTCTCTCTCTCTCTCTCTCTCTCTCTCTCCCGTCTCTGTATGTTGTTTTTGTGCTAGTGAGAGATTGAATGCAGGAATTTGTACATACTAAGCAAACCCTGTAGATGGAAGTTTCTGTCCCATCCAGTTCTGCAGTCATTCAGTCCCAAATAAACACACAGAGGCTTATATTAATTATAAACTGCTTGACCTATTAGCTCAGGTCTATTATCAACTAGCTCTTACAACTTAAATTAACCCATAATTCTTATCTATGTTTAGCCATGTGGCTTGGTACCTTTTCTCAGTTTGGCATTCTCATCTTGCTTCCTCTGCATCTGGCTTATGACTGCCTCTCTGCCTTTCCTCTTCCCAGAATTCTCCTAGTATGGTGGCCCTACCTATACTTCCTGCCTGGCTACTGGCCAATCAGCATTTATTAAACCAATATGAGTGACAAATCTTTACAGTGTACAAAAGCATTATCCACAGCAAAACCCTCTACCACTGAGGAGCTCCATACCTGCCTTTTGATATAGGGCCTCATTAAATTGCCCGTTGGTCTTTTATTTACTCTATAGCCTAGGCAGACATAAATTTGACATCCTTCTGCTTCAACCTTCCAGACAGCTGGGATTACATTCCTATGCCACAGGGCCTACCTTCAGTTTTCATGGCTTCCAAATTCCACATCCAATTATTAGGACCTTTCGATTGCTCCCCATTCATTACCTTCCAATTCCTACGAGCTGAACGTACAAGGTCACTTTATTCCAAGAGTTCTGAGGCACATTTCTTTGGAACCAGATGCTCCAGCAGGTATAAGATGCTTTGTAGAATGAGGAGTTGATACGAACACACAGGACTTGGCAATTAAGAAAGTCTTTCTGGAGCTCAGTGTTTTGAGCTACCTGCCGTGAAAGAACAAGGAATGGAAGCTGAATTCATTCATTACTTATTTATTATGAAGGAAATACCAAGATCTGGGGAGGATCTCAGAGTGAAATATTGGCTCTATCCTTAGTGTGGCTGAGAGAGTAAAGCGACATTACCAAAGAGATCATAGTTCCTGTCTAATGATGCTGTGTTTATTGTGATAGCTTTGAAGAAGTTGATCTAAGAAGATTGTGCTGAGACAAGGTGGGGGAACTGAAGAAGTAATGGTGGACGGGGTTAAGTTGAAGCAGAGCTACTGCAGATCACAGTGCAAGCAGATGGGTAAATGGGAGATCAGAGTAGTCTGGAAAGGCCAGAGAAGGGAGGAAAGACGGTGCTACAGATAAACTACAATTCCCAGGAAGCACTGTACGCTCACGGACGGAAGTGAGGTGAGGCGCGAGGCTCAACCTTTGAGGGAAAGAGGAAGTGCTTGGGCGTCGCAGGGCCGGAGGCGCGGGGATAGGTAGGTAAGGGCGCGGCGCGGGAGTCTGGCGGGCCTGGGCTGCGGGAGCCACGGCGGGCGGGAGCCGGGCAGCCGTGTCGTCACAAGGCGACAGCCGCCAGCCCGGCGGGCAGCTGGGCAGGCAGAAGGCAGTGGGAGGCCTTGCCACCCGGTAATCAGTCCCCTCCCGGCGTCTCTTCTGCAGAAGGAGCACCATGTCCGCGGAAGTCCCCGAGGCAGCGTCGGCGGAGGAGCAGAAGGTGAGCGTGCGGCGGTGGCTCGGCGGGGCTGAGGGAAGCCGGTGTGGCGGGGTCCTTGGCCGACGGAGCCTTCCGCTGAAGGCTGCCTGCCTGGCGACACCACAGGAGGCGGTCGGCTCCCCCCGCAGCCGGGGCCTCCGGAGGCTCGGACACCTAACGCTTCTCGCCGGTGCCTCGGTGTGTCACTTGAGTATGTGAGGGAGGCAGGCCTCGGGCCCATGCCAGGGACCCAAGTTTTGTAGTGAGCTTTTTATTTGCTTAGGACGTTGGTTTCTCCCGGAAGCGCTCCGACCACTTGTAAGCTTGCAGGTAACCCCCCCCCCCCCCAGAGGTGTCTCCGTTCAGGGGGGCGATGCAGATCTAGATCAGGATGGTGAGCCGCGCGGCCCCCATGATCGGTGTCGGTAAAGTCCAGGTGATAGTGTCCACTTCCCACGACTGCTGTGAGGCCCAGCCGAGATCATGGAAACCCGGCACAACCTGGGCTCACAAATGCTGGCTGCCAGGGTTTGCACCTGACTAAAATTCGAGAATTGGATGAGCTTTACAAATTTTCACTACTCAGGTATTTCTCGAAACATGGGGATGCTTTTGTCAGCTCATTTGTTTTCTCTGACGAAGAAAAATGAGCTAGCTTTCCGTCTAGGAATACGAGGCCTGTGTGTTTATCTGGGCTGTTGCCTGCCCATTCCATCGTAGTTGTTAATTGTTCCGAGGCCTTGCCTTCCTGGGTACGTTTAATCAGTTAGCTAAGAAAGGAGAACAGTCCTTGGTCTCAGTTCTTACATTGTTTTAGGGAGAATTCCCAACATTTTTTCTTAAAAAAAAAAAAAAAAATCAAACTGCGCCTTTCATCCCAGCACTCAGGCAAAAAAGCAGGCAGATGTCTGTGAGTTCCAGGCCAGCTGGAGCTACATAATGAGACCCTGTCTCAAATTAATTAATGGATGATTAATAACAAGCTGCTTTACTGTAAATGACATTTGGTCTACTGTCTAAACTTTCTTAGGGCTTATACTTAATGTTGCCATGTAGATTATTGCTCTGTGCCCGTCCCGTATGTTCTTAAGCATGTCAACTTTTCCTGTGTAATTTCTTCCATGTGATAGTTCCGTTCTGACAGTACTTGTAAATTAACTGATGAAAAGGAAAACAAAGATAATAAAGAACACCACGTTATTTGGTTGTATCCTTTGCAAGAAGAAAGATTTCGTCCTTCCTCCTTCCCTTCTTTCTGCAGTAGGGGGCCTCTGGGGCAGCCTAGGCAAGGAAGGGCTTTCCTGGGGTCCCCTTCTGCTTTCGTGAGAACAGCAAGTGAGAAGAAAAGAGAATATGTGTGTGCAGGGCAAGCGCTTTACTGACCCAGCCCCTGCTGTCTTTTTGGGAGAAGAACTGGTGTTGCTCAGGCTAGCTAGAGCGCATGGCCCTGAAACTATTGATCGGTTACCATGCTGGCCCTAATCTTTTTGTTTTTAGTTTTTAAACGATCTCACTAAGTTGCCCAGACAAGCCTTGAACTTGGTGATCCTCTAGGCTCAGACACCAAGTGACTCAGGTTATAAACCTGTGCCATGAGGGCCAGCTGAGTAATGAATTTTGGAAGCCAAAAAAAAAAAAAAATTAAATAAAATACATACAGTTTAAGGATTATAGTCTGAACAGTAATCTTAAATATTACCTGTTCATATTGTAAGCTTTGATGTATTCACAATTGTTTAGGGTTTAGGAACTCAAAGCCCCATCTCTATCTTGTCTTAAATATACTGAAATAAATCTTGGTTTTAATTTGATACATAATGCTGTGGGAGGTGATTTTTTTTAAATTTATTGTATGTTGGGGGTGTTTGTGTAGAGGTCAGAGAATAACCTGCAGGAGCTGGCTTTTTCCTTCTACCATGAGAACTCCAGTATTTGGGTTGTCAGCATTGGTGGCTAGAGCTCCCACCCACTGAGCCATCCTGCTAGCCCTTGTTTAATTATTTTTCAGGCAGGGGCTCACTCTGTAGCCCTTGCTTGCCTTTGATGTGAAGTGCTCCTCTGGCTTTAAACCTCCCAAGTTCAAGGATTACAATCCAGCTGCCACTACACCCAGCTAAAATAATTTTGGGTGACAGGATTTGTTAATATGTTGCCAAAGTTTGAAGTATTGGCTTTCTAGGGTATAAATACTTTTGATTAAAATAGCCTAATATAATACCTAATATCAAGGATAATTTTAATGTTTTCTCTTTAAGATTTTTTTCTCTTTAAGCATTTTTTAAGGTCTTTGTTTCTAGCTAATGTCATTAATATAAATTAGAGGGTGTTGAGAATGTGATGTCCCTTTTTGAATTGAAGAGTGGCTGTAGATTTTAAGTGCCTGAGGCATGAACACTATCCTTAAACAAGAGGAAAATGTGCAAAGTCACTTCTGTGTTCTAGTGAGCCAAATCACCTGTTTCTTCTATTTGGAAGAACAGTTACATGACCTAAAAAGTTGATTATTGTCTCTGTTCCCATTTGACCTTTCAATTATAGCCAAAGTATTCAGTTAAAAATACTTTTAAGGTTTTTGTTAGCTTGTTGTCTTTAAAAGTTTAAGATAGCAGGGCCCTGCAAGGAATATGACAAGGTCACTGTTTCTACCCCTGATAAATGGCACACACTCGTGTTAAGAGAAGAAATACACAGACCAATGGTTATAAAATTGAAAGCAAATTTTTTTAAAGAGAAGGCAATCAGATAGGCACCTATTTTAAATTAAGTTATTAATTAGATATGTGTGAGCATAAAAACACAGATATCTGCTTCTTTGTATCAGTCTTAAACAGAAACACAGCCTATCTATAAACTATTCATTATATCTGGTATTGTGCTAAAACTAAATATATTGAGAAATGGTAGCTGCTGTTAAAAGTTAACTACCCCATTGGCCATGTGATGACTAAGTTCTTTTAACATAAGCTGTGAGGTCATTTAACTATTTAGAACTGAAGATAATTTTAAAATTATTTCTAGCTCGGCATAGTGGGTCACACCTAATAATCCCAGCAGTCAGGAAACAGAAGCTGTCAAGTATAATACAGTGAGCCCATGGTGATAAAGCATAGAAACTTTAACTTTGGTCCACTTTAAAAATATGAACAAAACTAAATACATAATGCTTACGTGTGTTGTGGCTCAGGTTGGGTTTTTGTTGTTGTTGTTTTGTTTCTTTAAGATGCCAGTAGCAGGTTTCTAGAGATTATTTTACTCAGGCTAGGTGAAGTAGCTTAGACTGACTAGCTGAAGTAGAGCTCCTAACTGAAATACTCTATTAAAGAACACCTGGCCAGGCTGGAGAGGTAGTTAAGAGCACTGGCTGCTCTTCCAGAGGAACTGGTTCTATTCTCAGCACCCACATGGTGGCTCACCAACCATCTGTAACTCCAGTTTCAGAGGATCTAGTGTCCTCTTCTGACCAGGGTACATGAGTAGTATACAGACATACATGCAGACAAAATACACAAACTTAAAAATAATTATTTTTTAAAAAGATGCAGGCCAGGTGTGTAGCGCACACTTTAAATCCAGTACACTGGAGACAGAGGCAGGCAGGTCTCTGAGTTTAAGGCTAGCCTGGTCACATAGTGCATTCTAGAACAGCCAGAGCTATGTAGAGAGACCTTAACCCCCCTCCCCCATACAAATATATATCAAGGCCTGGTGGTTTTGTTCATGGTGTAAAAAGAAGAGAACTGTTACATAGATTTGCAGTGAAAAACCTCCTGTTCTCTCAAGGGCTGCCTGTTGGTGGATTGGGGTGGGGGGTGGCCTTGCACAGTCCAGGCTGGGGGTAAGTTTATCTTCCCGACTGTCTGCCACAGGATGAAGTCCAAGCTCACCAGCTCCTTTCATCACATTCTCTTGCTTCATCTCCTCTTGCCCACCCTGTTCCATTCTCTTACTGATGCTTCCTTCATCCTTAGACAAAACCTGCTTGCCTACATCTTTGTGTGTCTAAATCCTACATGCCTTTTCTGTAATCAGAGTTATGCTTGGTTACATGTGGCAGGAAGATGAAACTAATAGTAGTTTAAACAAGATAGAAGTTAGTTATTTTTCTCTCTTGACAAAGAAGCCCAAAAGGCTAGCCCAAGGACTGGGATAGTGGTTCTGAGGTTTTCAAAAACCTTATGTCCTTTGTTGCTGCTCCACCATTCTTAGCACCTCAGTTCTTACTGCAGTATGGCTGCTTCAGTTTCAGACATTTTAAGCTCATTAAACCATGAGAAAGGACACAGAGGGCAAAAACTGCATTCTCTTCTTCATGGGAGGCTTCTTAAATCTTGCACATGACATTTATCTCTTATCGGCTGTTTGTTTTAATGTGTATGGGTGTTTTGTCTGCATGTATGTCTGTGTATCTGTGTGCTGCTTGGTGCCCTGGAAGGTCAGAAGAGTGCATCAGATCACCTACCTGGGACTGGAGTTAGAGACCATCGTGAGCCACCTTGTATATGCTGGGAGTTGAATCCAGGTCCTCTGGAAGAGCCATTGCTTTTAACCACGGAGCCATCTCTGATGTCCTCTAATGACAATACATTTTCCTGAACATCCCTAATCATATGTGTAACATGACTGTTTCCTTATATCAGTGTTTAGCAGTACATGTAAATTTGCCCCCCCAACCCCCTGTTTTTAATAAATTCTAGTTAATTTTGATCTTGATATTTTTTAGTAGGCTTAATAGTGTTCTTTTTTTCTATCCAGACAGATTTCTCTCTTGTTTGTCCAGTGGGGTCTTCTATCTCAGACTGGCCTTGAACTAAAAGGGTAGTCAGGATGAGTTTGAACTCCTTGTCTCATTACTTGTACCTCCTGAGTACAGGGTTTTCAGTCATGTCCCATCTTGTGGTACTAGGGAGGAAACCCAGAACCTTGTTAATTACACTTCCAGCTCTACCAGCTTGTTAGATTTGCTTCTGTAGTATGTGTAAGATTTGTACTTTGTAACTTAGATTCCTGAACCTATTAATTCT